AGACCACCAGCATTTTGCTTAAGTACTGACTGGGTAGGCTGTGTGGGGCATTGAGCTCTGGAGCTCAGGCACAACTCACCTGGCTGGCTACAGCAGACACGGCCAAGGCAGCCATGGCAGAGCAGCTGAGAGCCCATCGCAAGAGCCGCACGAGGTTCACAGAGCACCAGCTACAGGAGCTGAGAGCCGCCTTCAAAGACACCCAGCAGCCCAAGTGGGACGAGGTGCAGGAGCTGGCCTCCAGGCTGCAGCTGGACCAGGTCGTGGTGAAGGTTTGGTTTAAAAACCAGAAGGCCAAGCTGAAGAAACAGCAGCAACCAAGAAGCCGCCTGTGTGCCCATCAGCTTCATGTCGCCAGGCCGCTCATGGGGCGCAGGTGCCCGGGGCCGCCCTCCTCAGCCCTCAGCAGCCTTTCAGAGGCGAGGCCCACCAAGGGCCAGAGGAGCCCCAGGAATTTCCAGTGTCTACCAGCCCTGGACTCAGTTTCCCGTTGGCAGCTTAGCCCCTGGAAAGTTTGGAGGTATCCTGGACAGCGCCCCTTCCCTACAGTACAGAAGAGCTTGCCCGGGTCTATGGCGTGTCTGGGAACGAAGACCCCTCCAGCCTGGACAAGTGTCTTCTTGAAGAACCTACACTGCCAGACCTCCACAGCCCCGAACCCCAGGGTTACATCTGCAGGCCTCAGCCCTGAGCTCACTCCACTCTCACCCCAGAATACACATCAACTTACCCCTGAGCTCCCCTCCCCTCAAAGAATAAAGAAGAAATGACTCTACCTTGCTGAGCACTGGAGCCTCACACTGGTCATCCTAGCTACTCAGGAGGCTGATTCCTGGAGGACCCAGGTTGCAAGTCAGCCTGAGCAAGAAAGTCCCCAGTAGTCTTGTCTCCAATCAACTAGCCCAAAGACACAAATAGAGCTGTGGCTCAAGTGCTAACGTGCCCGCTAAGAAAGCAAAGGCCCTGAGTTCCTACCCCAGCATTCAGAAAAGAAAGAAATGGGGCTGGGATTATGGCCTTGTGGAAGAGTGCTCTCCTAGCGTGTTTGAAGCCCTGAGTTCCATTCCTCATCACCACAAAAACAGAAAAGGCCGGAAGTGGCGCTGTGTATCAAGTGGTAGACTGCTAGCCTTGTGCAAATGAAGCTGAGACACAGTGCCCAAGCTCTGAATTCAAGCCCAAGGCCTAGACCAAAAAATAAATAAATGAATAAAAACCACCAAAAACATTCCTCCCCCCCACCACTCACACACTTACACACACACACACACACACACACACACACACACACACACAAATCAAAAGAGAATAACCGAAGAAGCCAAAGAAGGCGAAGAAGAGGAAGAAGAACAAATGAACAAGGGGGAAGGGAGACTTTATCTGAAGAGAGCAATCTCTTGCATCCATTCACATCTCAATTACACTTGGCCACACATGGCTATCAAAACACCAAATTGTCACCTTAAGCCCTTACAAAAGGGGCAGAGAACTGGTCACCAAGGGCCCACAGAGGGACTGACTGTCCTGTACACCACACAGGTCTAGGCAGCTGGATAGGAGCCCATGGCTCAGGCCTGGAATACTAGCTGCTTAGAAGGGGAGGATCAGAAGATGGCAGTTCAAAGCCATTCAGAAAAGCAAAGTGTGTGAGACTCTTATTGCCAATGAAGGACTAAAAAGCCAGAAGTGGAGTGTTAGTTCAAGTGATAAAGCACTAATATTGAGCAATAAAGCTCCCATTGCCCAGGCACTGAATTCAAACCAGGAGATTAAGAAAAAACAAAGGCTGGGAAGGTGGCTCAGTGGTAGAGCGCTTGCCTTGCCATGCATAAGGCCCTGGCTTCGATTCCTCAGCACCTTGTAAGAAAAAAACAAAGAAAATATACGACTGTGTGTGTATGTATATAAACATATATACATATTTATATATATGAGTGTGTGAGTATATTTATACACACACACACACACACACACACACACACACACATACAAATATATCCCAAAATTTCTGTAAGAAGTAAGAAATCCTCTCTTTGATTAAGGAAAGTCTGAGGGAAATACTCATGCACTTATTGCCTTCATTCTGTAAGTGTAACCCCTTTTCATCACCTTTTCAATAAACAAATAAACAACCAAGAAAGACTGAGGAGTGGAAGTTCTCTGGAAGAATAGGGAGGAGAATGATTCAGGGATTAGGGAGGGTCCGAGGCCTTGAGTTCAAGCCTCTGGACCAGCACAAAACCATACAAACAATAGATATATGTACATAAATATATATATATATATATATATACACATTCATATTTATATATATGTCATTGCCAGTATGTCTGAATCTAGCTAGATGGCTGGTGATCTAGCTCACTATTCCCCATTTTCTGTAGAGAGGAAAGATTCTCAGGAGTGAGGGAAGAAAGTCAGAGGAGTAGAAGTTGTCTGGCGGAAGGGCCCCAGGGAGGGGAAGGGCAGGGAGGAGCCTAGGGAGGGGAGGAGACTAGGGAGGGTCCCAGAGGGTGGAGACCACCAGCATTTTGCTTAAATACTGACTGGGTAGGCTGTGTGGGCATTGAGCTCTGGAGCTCAGGCACAACTCACCTGGCTGGCTACAGCAGACACGGCCAAGGCAGCCATGGCAGAGCAGCTGAGAGCCCATCGCAAGAGCCGCACGAGGTTCACAGAGCACCAGCTACAGGAGCTGAGAGCCGCCTTCAAAGACACCCAGCAGCCCAAGTGGGACGAGGTGCAGGAGCTGGCCTCCAGGCTGCAGCTGGACCAGGTCGTGGTGAAGGTTTGGTTTAAAAACCAGAAGGCCAAGCTGAAGAAACAGCAGCAAGCCAAGAAGCCGCCTGTGTGCCCATCAGCCTCATGTCGCCAGGCCGCTCATGGGGCGCAGGTGCCCGGGGCCGCCCTCCTCAGCCCTCAGCAGCCTTTCAGAGGCGAGCCCCACCAATGGCCAGAGGAGCCCCAGGAATTTGCAGCGCCTACCAGCCCTGGACTCAGTTTCCCATTGGCTGCTCAGCCCCTGGAAACTTTGGAGGTATCCTGGACAGCACCTCTTCCCTACAGCACAGAAGAGCTTGCCCGGGTCTATGGCGTGTCTGGGAACGAAGACCCCTCCAGCCTGGACAAGTATCTTCTCCCGGAACCTGCACTGCCAGACCTGCACAGCCCCGAACCCCAGGGTTACATCTGCAGGCCTCAGCCCTGAGCTCACTCCACTCTCTGCCCAAGATAGACATCAACATACCCTTGAGCTCCCCCCCTCTAAAAATAATAAAGAAGAAATGACTCTACCTAGCTGAGCACTGGAGTCTCACACTGGTCATCTTAGCTACTCAGGAGGCTGATACCTGGAGGACTCAGGTTGCAAGTCAGCCTGAGCAAGAAAGTCCATGGGACTCTTGTCTCCAATCAACTAGCCCAGAGACCCACATAGAGCTCTGGCCCAAGTGCTAAAATACCCGCCAATCAAGCAAAGGCCCAGAGTTCAAACCCCAGCATTCAGAAAAGGAAGAAATGGGGCTGGGCATGTGACCTTGTGGTGGACTACTTGCCTAGCATGCTTGAAGCCCTGAGTTCCACTCCTCATTACCACAAAAACAGAAAAGGCCGGAGGTGGTGCTGTGTCTCAAGTGGTAAACTGCTAGCCTTGTGCAAATGAGGCTCAGACACAGTGCCCAAGCTCTGAGTTCAAGCCCAAGGACTAGACTAAAAAATAAATAAATGAATAAATACCAAAAATATTCCTCTGACACCTCACAAAAAAAAAAATCAAAGAAGAAGAAGGAGGAGGAGGAGGAAGAGGAGAAGCAGAAGCAGGAGGAGGAGAAGGAGGAATAAAAGGTGGCAGAGGAGGAGGAGGAGGAGGAGGAGAAATGAAGAAGGAGGAAGGGAGACTTTATCTGAGGAGAGCAATCTCTTGAATACATTCACATCTCAATTACACTTGGCCACACATGGCTATCAAACACCAAATTGCCACCTTAAGCCATCAAAAACGGGGCAGAGGACTGGCCACCAAGGGCCCTCAGAGGGACTGACTGTCCTGTACACCACACAGGGCTAGGCAGCTGGATAGGAGCCCATGGCTCAGGCCTGGAATAGTAGCTGCTTGGAAGGCTAAGATCAGAAGATGGCAGTTCAAAGCCATCCAGAAAAGCAAAGTGTGTGAGACTCTTATTGCCAATGAAGGACCAAAAAGGCAGAAGTGGAGTTGTAGCTCAAGTAATAAAGCACTGATATTGAGCGATAAAACTCCCCTTCATTGCCCAGGCACTGAGATCAAACAGAAGAATTAAGAAAAAAAAAAAAAGAAAATATGAGCCTGTGTGTGTGTGTGTGTGTGTGTGTGTGTGTGTGTGTGTGTGTGTGTTTCCCAAAATTTCTGTAAGAAGTAAGATATCCCGTCTGTGATTAAAGAAAGGCTGAGGGAAATACTAACGTACTTATTGCCTTCATTCTGTAAGTGTAACCCCTTGTTCATCACCTTTTCAATAAACAAATAAACAACCAAGAAAGACTGAGGAGTGGAAGTTCTCTTGAGGAATAGCAGGAAGGAGGGAGTAGGGTGATTCTGGGATTAGGGAGGGTCCCAGGCCTTGAGTTCAAGTCTCTGGACCAGCACAAAACCATACAAACAATAGATATATGTACATATATACATATGTATATAAATATATATACATGTCTTCGCCGGTATATAAGTATGTAGCTAGCTAGCTGGTAATCTAGCTCACTATTCCCAATTATCTGTAGAGATGAAAGATTCCCAGGAGTGAGGGAAGAAAGTCTGAGGAGTAGAGGTTATCTAAAGGAAGGGCCCCAGGGAGGGGAAGGGCAGGGAGGAGCCTAGGGAGGGGAGGAGACTAGGGAGGGTCCCAGAGGGTGGAGACCACCAGCATTTTGCTTAAATACTGACTGGGTAGGCTGTGTGGGGATTGAGCTCTGGAGCTCAGGCACAACTCACCTGGCTGGCTACAGCAGACACGGCCAAGGCAGCCATGGCAGAGCAGCTGAGAGCCCATCGCAAGAGCCGCACGAGGTTCACAGAGCACCAGCTACAGGAGCTGAGAGCCGCCTTCAAACACACCCAGCAGCCCAAGTGGGACGAGGTGCAGGAGCTGGCCTCCAGGCTGCAGCTGGACCAGGTCGTGGTGAAGGTTTGGTTTAAAAACCAGAAGGCCAAGCTGAAGAAATAGCAGCAAGCCAAGAAGCCGCCTGTGTGCCCATCAGCCTCATGTCGCCAGGCCGCTCATGGGGTGCAGGTGCCCGGGGCCGCCCTCCTCAGCCCTCAGCAGCCTTTCAGAGGCGAGGCCCACCAAGGGCCAGAGGAGCCCCAGGAATTTGCAGCACCTACCAGCCCTGGATTCAGTTTCCCGTTGGCTGCCCAGCCCCTGGAAACTTTGGAGGTATCCTGGACGACGCCCCTTCCCTACAGCACAGAAGAGCTTGCACGGGTGTATGGCGTATCTGGGAATGAAGACCCCTCCAGCCTGGACAAGTATCTTCTTGAGGAACCTACACTGCCAGACCTCCACAGCCCCGAACCCCAGGGTTACATCTGCAGGCCTCAGCCCTGAGCTCACTCCACACTCACCCCAGAATACACATCAACTTACCCCTGAGCTCCCCTCCCCTCAAAGAATAAAGAAGAAATGACTCTACCTTGCTGAGCACTGGAGCCTCACACTGGTCATCCTAGCTACTCAGGAGGCTGATTCCTGGAGGACTCAGGTTGCAAGTCAGCCTGAGCAGGAAAGTCCCCAGTAGTCTTGTCTCCAATCAACTAGCCCAAAGACACAAATAGAGCTGTGGCTCAAGTGCTAACGTGCCCGCTAAGAAAGCAAAGGCCCTGAGTTCCTACCCCAGCATTCAGAAAAGAAAGAAATGGGGCTGGGATTATGGCCTTGTGGAAGAGTGCTCTCCTAGCGTGTTTGAAGCCCTGAGTTCCATTCCTCATCACCACAAAAACAGAAAAGGCCAGAAGTGGCGCTGTGTCTCAAGTGGTAGACTGCTAGCCTTGTGCTAATGAAGCTGAGACACAGTGCCCAAGCTCTGAGTTCAAGCCCAAGGACTAGACCAAAAAATAAATAAATGAATAAAAACCACCAAAAACATTCCTCCCCCCCACCACTCACACACTTACACACACACACACACACACACACACACACACACACACACACACACACAAATCAAAAGAGAATAACTGAAGAAGCCAAAGAAGGCGAAGAAGAGGAAGAAGAACAAGTGAACAAGGGGGAAGGGAGACTTTATCTGAAGAGAGCAATCTCTTGCATCCATTCACATCTCAATTACACTTGGCCACACATGGCTATCAAAACACCAAATTGGCACCTTAAGCCCTTACAAAAGGGGCAGAGGACTGGTCACCAAGGGCCCTCAGAGGGACTGACTGTCCTGTACACCACACAGGGCTAGGCAGCTGGATAGGAGCCCATGGCTCAGGAGTGTAATACTAGCTGCTTGGAAGGGGAGGATCAGAAGATGGCAATTCAAAGCCATCCAGAAAAGCAAAGTGTGTGAGACTCTTATTGCCAATGAAGGACTAAAAAGCCAGAAGTGGAGTGGTAGCTCAAGTGATAAAGCACTAATATTGAGCAATAAAGCTCCCATTGCCCAGGCACTGAATTCAAACGAGGAGATTAAGAAAAAACAAAGGCTGGGAAGGGGCTCAGTGGTAGAGCGCTTGCCTTGCCATGCATAAGGCCCTGGCTTCGATTCCTCAGCACCTTGTAAGAAAAAAACAAAGAAAATATACGACTGTGTGTGTATGTATATAAACATATATACATATTTATATATATGAGTGTGTGAGTATATTTATACACACACACACACACATACACACACACATACAAATATATCCCAAAATTTCTGTAAGAAGTAAGAAATCCTCTCTTTGATTAAGGAAAGTCTGAGGGAAATACTCATGCACTTATTGCCTTCATTCTGTAAGTGTAACCCCTTTTCATCACCTTTTCAATAAACAAATAAACAACCAAGAAAAACTGAGGAGTGGAAGTTCTCTGGAAGAATAGGGAGGAGAATGATTCAGGGATTAGGGAGGGTCCGAGGCCTTGAGTTCAAGCCTCTGGACCAGCACAAAACCATACAAACAATAGATATATGTACATAAAAATATATATACACATTCATATTTATATATATGTCTTTGCCAGTATGTCTGAATCTAGCTAGATGGCTGGTAATCTAGCTCACTATTCCCCATTTTCTGTAGAGAGGAAAGATTCTCAGGAGTGAGGGAAGAAAGTCAGAGGAGTAGAAGTTGTCTGGAGGAAGGGCCCCAGGGAGGGGAAGGGCAGGGAGGAGCCTAGGGAGGGGAGGAGACTAGGGAGGGTCCCAGAGGGTGGAGACCACCAGCATTTTGCTTAAATACTGACTGGGTAGGCTGTGTGGGCATTGAGCTCTGGAGCTCAGGCACAACTCACCTGGCTGGCTACAGCAGACACGGCCAAGGCAGCCATGGCAGAGCAGCTGAGAGCCCATCGCAAGAGCCGCACGAGGTTCACAGAGCACCAGCTACAGGAGCTGAGAGCCGCCTTCAAAGACACCCAGCAGCCCAAGTGGGACGAGGTGCAGGAGCTGGCCTCCAGGCTGCAGCTGGACCAGGTCGTGGTGAAGGTTTGGTTTAAAAACCAGAAGGCCAAGCTGAAGAAACAGCAGCAACCAAGAAGCCGCCTGTGTGCCCATCAGCTTCATGTCGCCAGGCCGCTCATGGGGCGCAGGTGCCCGGGGCCGCCCTCCTCAGCCCTCAGCAGCCTTTCAGAGGCGAGGCCCACCAAGGGCCAGAGGAGCCCCAGGAATTTCCAGTGTCTACCAGCCCTGGACTCAGTTTCCCGTTGGCAGCTTAGCCCCTGGAAAGTTTGGAGGTATCCTGGACAGCGCCCCTTCCCTACAGTACAGAAGAGCTTGCCCGGGTCTATGGCGTGTCTGGGAACGAAGACCCCTCCAGCCTGGACAAGTGTCTTCTTGAAGAACCTACACTGCCAGACCTCCACAGCCCCGAACCCCAGGGTTACATCTGCAGGCCTCAGCCCTGAGCTCACTCCACTCTCACCCCAGAATACACATCAACTTACCCCTGAGCTCCCCTCCCCTCAAAGAATAAAGAAGAAATGACTCTACCTTGCTGAGCACTGGAGCCTCACACTGGTCATCCTAGCTACTCAGGAGGCTGATTCCTGGAGGACCCAGGTTGCAAGTCAGCCTGAGCAAGAAAGTCCCCAGTAGTCTTGTCTCCAATCAACTAGCCCAAAGACACAAATAGAGCTGTGGCTCAAGTGCTAACGTGCCCGCTAAGAAAGCAAAGGCCCTGAGTTCCTACCCCAGCATTCAGAAAAGAAAGAAATGGGGCTGGGATTATGGCCTTGTGGAAGAGTGCTCTCCTAGCGTGTTTGAAGCCCTGAGTTCCATTCCTCATCACCACAAAAACAGAAAAGGCCGGAAGTGGCGCTGTGTATCAAGTGGTAGACTGCTAGCCTTGTGCAAATGAAGCTGAGACACAGTGCCCAAGCTCTGAATTCAAGCCCAAGGCCTAGACCAAAAAATAAATAAATGAATAAAAACCACCAAAAACATTCCTCCCCCCCACCACTCACACACTTACACACACACACACACACACACACACACACACACACACACAAATCAAAAGAGAATAACCGAAGAAGCCAAAGAAGGCGAAGAAGAGGAAGAAGAACAAATGAACAAGGGGGAAGGGAGACTTTATCTGAAGAGAGCAATCTCTTGCATCCATTCACATCTCAATTACACTTGGCCACACATGGCTATCAAAACACCAAATTGTCACCTTAAGCCCTTACAAAAGGGGCAGAGAACTGGTCACCAAGGGCCCACAGAGGGACTGACTGTCCTGTACACCACACAGGTCTAGGCAGCTGGATAGGAGCCCATGGCTCAGGCCTGGAATACTAGCTGCTTAGAAGGGGAGGATCAGAAGATGGCAGTTCAAAGCCATTCAGAAAAGCAAAGTGTGTGAGACTCTTATTGCCAATGAAGGACTAAAAAGCCAGAAGTGGAGTGTTAGTTCAAGTGATAAAGCACTAATATTGAGCAATAAAGCTCCCATTGCCCAGGCACTGAATTCAAACCAGGAGATTAAGAAAAAACAAAGGCTGGGAAGGTGGCTCAGTGGTAGAGCGCTTGCCTTGCCATGCATAAGGCCCTGGCTTCGATTCCTCAGCACCTTGTAAGAAAAAAACAAAGAAAATATACGACTGTGTGTGTATGTATATAAACATATATACATATTTATATATATGAGTGTGTGAGTATATTTATACACACACACACACACACACACACACACACACACATACAAATATATCCCAAAATTTCTGTAAGAAGTAAGAAATCCTCTCTTTGATTAAGGAAAGTCTGAGGGAAATACTCATGCACTTATTGCCTTCATTCTGTAAGTGTAACCCCTTTTCATCACCTTTTCAATAAACAAATAAACAACCAAGAAAGACTGAGGAGTGGAAGTTCTCTGGAAGAATAGGGAGGAGAATGATTCAGGGATTAGGGAGGGTCCGAGGCCTTGAGTTCAAGCCTCTGGACCAGCACAAAACCATACAAACAATAGATATATGTACATAAATATATATATATATATATATATACACATTCATATTTATATATATGTCATTGCCAGTATGTCTGAATCTAGCTAGATGGCTGGTGATCTAGCTCACTATTCCCCATTTTCTGTAGAGAGGAAAGATTCTCAGGAGTGAGGGAAGAAAGTCAGAGGAGTAGAAGTTGTCTGGCGGAAGGGCCCCAGGGAGGGGAAGGGCAGGGAGGAGCCTAGGGAGGGGAGGAGACTAGGGAGGGTCCCAGAGGGTGGAGACCACCAGCATTTTGCTTAAATACTGACTGGGTAGGCTGTGTGGGCATTGAGCTCTGGAGCTCAGGCACAACTCACCTGGCTGGCTACAGCAGACACGGCCAAGGCAGCCATGGCAGAGCAGCTGAGAGCCCATCGCAAGAGCCGCACGAGGTTCACAGAGCACCAGCTACAGGAGCTGAGAGCCGCTTTCAAACACACCCAGCAGCCCAAGTGGGACGAGGTGCAGGAGCTGGCCTCCAGGCTGCAGCTGGACCAGGTCGTGGTGAAGGTTTGGTTTAAAAACCAGAAGGCCAAGCTGAAGAAACAGCAGCAAGCCAAGAAGCCGCCTGTGTGCCCATCAGCCTCATGTCGCCAGGCCGCTCATGGGGCGCAGGTGCCCGGGGCCGCCCTCCTCAGCCCTCAGCAGCCTTTCAGAGGCGAGCCCCACCAATGGCCAGAGGAGCCCCAGGAATTTGCAGCGCCTACCAGCCCTGGACTCAGTTTCCCATTGGCTGCTCAGCCCCTGGAAACTTTGGAGGTATCCTGGACAGCACCTCTTCCCTACAGCACAGAAGAGCTTGCCCGGGTCTATGGCGTGTCTGGGAACGAAGACCCCTCCAGCCTGGACAAGTATCTTCTCCCGGAACCTGCACTGCCAGACCTGCACAGCCCCGAACCCCAGGGTTA